CTATTTGTGTCTTTCTTCATGTAAGTTAAGACAAAAACGGATAAAATGTGCAAAAACAGGCAGAATTGAATTTCTACACAGAGTTATGGGAACTGAATTGAAGCATAGACAAGAGGCCACCCTGACTGTCAAGGGAAGAGTATTCAGAAAGGTATGAACGTGAAAATGGCTTTGCTACTCATTCCTGATGAAATAACTACAAATCTACAAATGCAAGAACCATTCAGGTAGATGATGTGAATGTGCAACTTAAAAGTCCTCACAACTCCAGATTGCATATGCCCTTGACATTTGACATGTTCATTACAGCTTTTGGGAAGTATAAAGCCATCATGTGTCTACACTGGCCACAAAAACGAGCTGACTTGATGATTATCAGCGCCTTATAGTTGATATGCACAACCAATATCAGAATCAACTTTTTTACCAGTATCACAAACATTTCTCGGCTAAAGCTGCAGCCTATCTTGAGCAACACATCTGCAAACTTCCATGGCGAGAGATTGACGATTCCATTTATAGAGCCGTGTTTACAGAACGCAGAATCAGTGCTTGCCAGCTGTGAGAGGCAATTGGTAATTTGACCCAGTTTTGTTCAATGGTAGATGCCATGTCCCTCCATCAGAGACTCTTAACCATACTTCCATGACTAGAGACAGAGAATTCACATGGTCACGGGGAATAGAAGTTCTTCTGTGGACATGGAAAAATTAACCAACGTCTTTCTGATCACCCAAACCATGCTTTTGTTCAGTCTTTGCTGCATGGTTTCAAATTTGGTTTTGACACTGGCATTAAATGTCCACCATCTCACACTAATGTCTGCAAGAATCTATAATCCACTCAAAACAATCCTGAAACAGCAGCAGCCTTCATACAAGATAAACTACACAAAGGTTACTTGATTGGTCCATTTATGCAATCTCCTTTCCCTCACCATCAGGTTAATCCAATCCGCATCGTGGAAGGGAAATATTCCAAAAAGAAGCGAATGATTGTTGACCTCTTTGCCCCACATGATGATGTAGGAAACCCAAGTCTGAACTCTGTGATTGACAAAAGACAATTTTCCCTCACCTATGTGAAAGTTGATGATGCTAGTCAAATTATCAAAGCCATGGGCCAACATGCTTACCTGTGTAGGGTCGACATCAAAGATGCGTTCAAAATGTTTCCAATACACCCTTCCTTATGGAACTTACATGGCATATCATGGGATAATCAGCTTTATTATTACACTCGCTTGGTATTTGGATGCCGGTCCAGTCTAAAACTGTTTGATGGCCTGTCTGATGAAGTATGTTGGATTGCAAATAATATGTATGACATGGACAATATATTGCATCTTTTGGATGATTTTTTACCTGTTTATAAGGACTTAGAACAAGGCATTAGAACTATAAACAAACTGCAGTGCATAGTCTCGGAACTGAATATCCCCTTATCCCCCCACAAAACGGTCGGACCGGTCCCATGTTTAGAGTACCTGGGGATTATTTTGGACACTGATAGAATGGAAGGTCGTCTACCCACTGAGAAAGTTGCCTGAATCGTCTCCATCATGGAATCTATTCAAGCTGACAAAGTCACTAAGCAACTACTGCTCAGTCATCTAAATTTTGCTAAATGTATCATTCCAGCTGGTAGGGCCTTCATCAGTTACCTCCTGCAACTGGCCGACTCTTTGAAACACCTACGTCAATGGGTCACTTTGGCTCCATGGCCGGTTGACTTACTGCAAGCTACCACAGAGGACATGTCCATTGCCTTATTCAAACTTCACCCTATTGTCATGGTGGCTGCAATCGTAGATGTCATTGTGACAATACTGCTACCGTTTACATACTTTGCAAATGTCGTTCTAAATCTCCATTCATCATGTGTCTGATAAGGGAATTTGTATTAACAGCTGCCAAATATAACTTTGTATTCAGTGCACGACATATACCTGGCAGAGTTAACCATATTGGTGATGACCAAGTTCCCACAACTAGCTCTCAAAGCCGAACCAACACCACCGACATGCCTCAGTCTGTCAACTCACGTTACCGCCAGTGAAGACTTAGATAAATTGTGGACAAAAGCTGTGTCTAAAACTACTAATGCGGTTTACAGATCAGGGGTTCAAGCCTTTATAATTTTTATGGCTATGTTTGGGTTTGTGTGGCAGCCCATTGTGTTACCATCATAGTTGGAAGATTCCTTATTCCTGTTTATAGCCCACTGTCGTCATCATCGACTGCACTTAAGATATACTACCATCAAGTGTTATCGGGTGGCATGGGATTCACATATTTCAGGCATAATGTGCCAAATGTTCTATGAATCTGCTACGAATAGAGACAATAATGAAGCTAGGCGATCAAGCAAGAGCAAGGTGTTAATCAATTTGTGCAACTACTAATTACTGTGACAATTTAAAGCAGATTTGTCTCACTTTACAGAAAGGACTATTTTCACCTTGCACGGACTTGTTGGTAAAACCCGTGTTCAGAAGCTTTATTTGGCTTTCTCTGTTGTGGATAGTTTACTTGTGACCATTTTAATGCTAAATTGCATTTGTCTCTCAGTTCTGTTGTGTTTGGACCAGATTATGAATCTTTTAAATTGACACTTAAATTGTCATAGATAGATGCAGGGGTATAACATTGTCCATCCAAGCGGTTCCAACAACTTCCTGTCCAGTTTGTTGTCTACAGAAATATATTCATCTTAGGAGGGCCATGGGAGTCAATCAGCATGATCCTCTATATGTAAATAAGCAGGATATTCCCTTTACCTGTACTTTCTTTATTCAAAGGCTAAACAAATGTTATCTATTGCAGAATATGACCAACGGTCATTCATTTCGAATTAGTGCTGCTACCTCTGCTTCCAAGGCAGGTGGTAATCGGATTGTTATGTTCGGTATATCAGGGTGCCTAAATGATCTATAGCGCAGGCTCAACGTCCAATGGCCAATACTAGTTGTAACTGCTTGTCATAGTAAGGCTAAACAAACGTTATCTATTGCAGAATATGACCAAAGGTCATTCATTTCGAATTAGTGCTGCTACCTCTGCTTCCAAGGAAGGTGGTAATCGGATTGTTATGTTCGCTATATCAGGGTGCCTAAATGATCTATAGCGCAGGCTCAATGTGCAATGGCCAATACTAGTTGTAACTGCTTGTCATAGTTTGTAGATCCGTGAAGATCCGGGGTAGAATAGGTCTTCAGCAACCCATGCTTGCCATAAAAGGCGACTATGCTTGTCGTAAGAGGCGACTAACGGGATCGGTTGGTCAGACTCGCTGACTTGGTTGATCCATGTCATCGTATCCCAATTGCGTGGATTGATGCTCATGATGTCAATCACTGGATTGTCTGGTCCAGACTTGATTATTTACAAATCTATCTACCAAAGCAAAGCAAAGCATAGTTTGTATTAGGGCTGGTGATTTAGATCGATAATCGTAATTATCATCGATGGAAGAAGGTTGTGACGATTATCGATATGAATATAATGCTATCGATAATGACGAATTGTATTTTTTCGACAAATAAAAGTTTTTACTGCAACACATTTGACTTAGGCCTATTTGTTTTGCTGTCCTTGTAATTATCGCTAGATATAAACAGATTCACCCTAACATACAGTTTTCTCACCTTCGCTTTATGTTTAGTCGCAAATAATAATCAAATATTTCAAAAAGTAAAAAGTTCTGCTTTGAATCGAACGACGACGCCATTACGTGTTGATAGTGGGTAATTACAAATTTAGTCACTGGCATCTAAATGCGGAGTCAGGATTTTAGAAAATATGTATATTTTCGAAATAGTATGATGTATCGTGATTAAAATAGGTTTCATAATATTTTATTTCTTAAAAAATAATTTTTCCCATTCTATTTTATAAAAATTTCAAATTTTATGTCTATTTGGTAACTATGTATTCCAGCCTGTTTCGGTTTTTTTCAGTGATCATAGTTTTCGTTTTTTCCCGGTGTTCTCAACTCACAGCCCACGTGAGGTCCATGTGGGGTTTGACATTTTTACGATATGGCAGCAAAAATTCATAATTTCCCCGGAAAGGCAAAAAGTGCTGTGTGGAACATTTTTGGTTTCCATCGAAACGAAACTGATAAAGAACTTGATAAATCACATGCCGTGTGCAGGCAGTGCTTTACTAAAGTAAAGTATACCGGCAATACTACTAATTTGCAAGTCCATATCGACAAGTATCATGGTTCAAAAACAGGTCAGAAATGGCAACCAACTATACAACAGTGTATTTCCCCAAATGCTAGTGCAGTAAAATTGCCTATGCACAGCCCCAAAGCTGAATCCATTACAAATGCAATAGCTGAACATATCGTGCTCGACATGAGGCCGGTCTCCATTGTGGAGTCCCAGTCGTTCCGTAAGATTCTAAAGGTTTCAGAGCCGAGATATGAAATGCCTTCTCGTAGTTATTTCAAGGACAAGATTATACCCAAAATGTACCATGATACCAGAAAAATGGTTGAGATGCAGTTGAGGGTGGCGTTTGATGTGTCTACAACAACTGACTGCTGGACATCATCAGCGACGGAATCTTACATGACAATAACTGCACATTTCATACATGATTGGAAAATTGTCAACTACGTACGCCAGACACGCGAGTTACCTGGTAGTCACACAGCTGAACACTTGCATGAGGCTTTGAAAACATCCGTTGCAGATTGGGGATTCGATCCCTTCACTATTGTCTCAGACAATGCAGCAAACGTTGTTAAAGCCATTGGCATGTTTGAAAACACAATACACATTCCTTGCGTCGCCCATACTTTGAACTTAGTAGCAAAGGCGGGTCTGAACGCAAATGCTAGTCTCAGCAAACTGCAATCTCGCTGCAGACACCTCGTTGGTTATTTCAAAAGAAGTCCGCTGGCCACAAATGTCTTACATTCCAAACAGGAGTTATTGCAACTACCACTTCACAATCTTATTCAAGACGTCGAAACGCGTTGGAACAGTAGATACATGCGTTCACTGATCAAAGTCTTAAGAAAGACGCACGTGGCCTGGTTTTAGATCCCTCCGAACAGGACCAAGCAGAAAATATTATCCGTGTCTTGCAGCCATTAAAGCAAGCTACAACCCTTCTGTGTGACGCTACTCTGCCGAGTGTTTCCATGGTTTTGCCAATGATGTACAAGCTTAGGGTTCATTTGACTGTCAAGGATGGGGACAGTGGGCTTGTTAAAGCTGTTAAATCGGCAATTTCAGCTAACTTGTCCAAACGTTACACCAAAGACAAACTCAGAAAAACACTCGTAGCATCAACGCTGCTGGATCCACGTTACAATGGGATACCTTGTATCACTGAGGATATCGCAGAGGATCAGCTAAAAAGAGAAGTGACAGAAGTACATTGCAAGTTGTCAGAAACACCAATGCGTTTGAGCATAAAGCAGGAGAAAGCTGACTTAGCTGAGAGCGAACCAGCCCTTCCCGACTTGCCCCGATTGCCAGATTTTCCCAACGTACCAGATACTGCAGATAGTACAGATTCAAGCAAGTCTGGGGTGACAGTTGAGACTGAGCCACCCGTGAAAAGGATCAAGACTGAATCTGACAGCATAAAATCGAAGTCACTTGGAGTTGACGACTGGTTCTCAGATGTCATTGTCACAGGAGTGGAGAAAGTTGCTGTAGATCATAATCAACGGGCAAGAGAGGAGATATGTAGGTATCTGAAGGAATCCCGGCTATCCGGGGACATGTCTACCCTGGAATGGTGGAAGATGAAGGAAGTGGCATATCCAGCACTGTCAGTGCTAGCCAAGCGTTATCTCTCCATCCCTGCCACATCGGTCCCCAGTGAGCGGGTTTTCAGCGCCGCGGGACTTGTTGTTAATAAACAACGAAGCAGCTTGAAAACAGATAATGTCGATAAGCTGATATTCTTGAACAAAAACCTTAAAAAGGTTTTTGATCAGTGATGATTTTCATGTTCAATACCAAATGAACTCATTACTATTTGTCGTATTTGAGGCAAGTGACCTTGCCAGATACAAATAAGTTTTCAAGTGTTAGCGTTTTGATATTTAGCGGTACATTCACAAAAGTCAAAAACATGAAAAATGAATTGCTGTTAGGTATTTTATTTTTTTGCATTTACAAAATGAATTGATGTTAAATTTAAAACTAGTTCTTTATACTTTATACAGTTACAAAATGAATTGATATTACGCATTTTAAAGTTCATAGTTTGATTGTTTCTCAAAGTTGGTGACTGACACCGATTGCCGATATTCCAACTGAACGTTTATAAAGTTATTTTAAAAGTGCATTCTTCGGGGTTTTTTATTTCATGACTTAAGACTATTAGACTAATCGATATATAGTAATCATGAGAAAGTTTCGTAACACATTAGTGCTGAGACGATCATTACTACATTATTACAAGGGTATACAAACTTACATCGTTATAATCGCACGATGTTTGTTTAATATCAGTCTGTAACCCAATCTGTGCCCCACCACGAAAACGATGACGTAGCACTCACCTGACCTATTACGTATCACACCTGTGAACCTAGTACAACCTACTACGTAGCACACACCTGTACACACCTGACATTCACAATGGCGGAATATTTGATGATTTTTTATCTGAATAGTTTCGTGAATACTGTACATAAATGACAAACGACTATATCAGGTGAAATTACATTTAATTTCTCAATTATTCTCACTTTATACAAATAATAATTGTCTTTGACGACATGAATCTTAAACTCAGATTGTTCATCGCTAAAAATGCGATGTAATGTGCGTATTGTTGAAACACTGAGTCTCCGGAGAAGTGAATTGCCATTTTTCTGTAATATCATTTTACCAAAATAGAATTCTTCGATATTTATCGATTATTGATCGATATGTGACTACCGATAATCGATTTGAGTAATCCATATCGATAACAAGCCCTAGTTTGTATATCTTTATATCTTTGGGGATCCTCAGTCAATTTTGAACTTAGATTACCCCCTGCAGTCATAATTCGGATAGGATGCTTTGGATGCCTGTCGTCAGAATACAGGTCATACTTGACCTCTATGTATTTATCATCTAATGGGTTCTATCCATAGTATGATAGATGTGTAGTCAACTGCCCAAACCAGTCTGTAATTCTCTGTACCACTCTTGACAATTGATCCCAACAGCTTGCTCCCTGACTGTTGCTCGGTCAGGTACACCAGAGCTCCAGATAAGCTGCGTATCTGCGTAAAATACACATCAGAAATGCAGAAATATGCAGGAAAATAAAATCCAAGCGTATCAAATACCTAACGAACATTACAGATACGCTACAAAAATAAAACTTATGCGTATCATCAAAATATTGTGAAGTAATCCTGCGTATTCGATTAGCAAATCAGCAACTTATTTTGAAATTATAAACAGGCATTCTGTCAACCTTGCCAAACTCCACAATGACAGTTACATCATGTTCATTTGCCATCACACTTTCTTGTGGAAGTATCGTGGTATTTTTGAGTCCTATAAAGCTCTCGAAGCTACACGACACCAGTTTGCAGGGACTAGATGAATAGTGTTTTTAAATATTTAACTTAAATACCCACATGTGTTAAAAAATTGTGGGTAACAGATATTTGAATACCCAGTTAGAATTACTGATACCCAATGATTTTAAAATGCATGTGTAAAATACCCACAACACCAAAAGCTTATCTGGTGCTCTGCTTGGGAAGGTTTGCTTTGCCAGGCAAATCGATCCCTAGCTGGGCATGGCTGTACATGTACCAATAGCATTTATAGTCACATTTATATAATTTACAGTGAGAATCCCCTTACCCCAAGCTTATGTTATGTATGTATTATCTTGAATATGTCTCAGGTATAAAATCATTGTTGCAGTTTTGTGTTGAATTGTCATTATAAACAGTATGGTAAAAACACCCAAAGAAGGTAGGGTTCATCTCGAAAACAAAACCGGGACGTAAGGGGATATTAGACAGCTTTGATACGGGGTGATTAGGCGTATAGTGTATAAGCTTTATGAGCAGAAGGTAACCCCGACTTGAAGTAGAATTCAAAGGGAAAAAAAGGACACAATTAATGTTTCTGTGATTTCGATACACTGCACGTGATGATGAGGGTTGAGGGGAAAATATTCCATCCTGTTTATGGGATAACATTATCTCTGCACCATTCATGACTATCGCAGTCAGGGCTTCCAAATCATTTACTTGATGAAACCTGGGTGAATAAGAATCATTCAACTGACTACATGTGGCTACCGTCAGATGGACGAAAAGCAATCCTCAGCTAAAGCTAATTGTGTCATTTTGAACGCCGCAACCCATGATCTGTGGCTTATTGATGGCTGGTTTCCAAAGAATACTTAGATTTGCGTCAAACTCATGCTCACCTTGCACAAGATAAACACGTCCATCAAAGAAACTCACAAACATCGAACAATAGTTATCATTGTTAATAATTCTAAGAATACTACCTCTATTACATCTTTGCCATAAATCCTGTATTTTGGCTTCAGTCACATTAACTAAAATTTTCAGATTTTCAATAATCCTCTTCTGGAAACAATTATTCACTGATTCTTATCCTGACTCGAGATAATTTCCTTTGAAATTCCCCTTGAGGACTTAAAAATCAGAATGTATCAAGAATCAGTCAAATACATGATACCTTCACTAGAATTACCGTTATATTTGCTGATCTTGTCAGTAATAATGATGGCATTTCTGGTCTATTTCTACCCAATGACGCCATTTCTGGTTAAATTGGATTTGTGACACTATTACCGGTGCTGACGTCACTTCCGGTGCTGATGCCTCGTCCGGTTGTGATGTCAGCTCCATTTTTTCACTTCCCTTTTATTCGATAATGACATCTCTTATGGTCTTTCACCACATAAAGACATAATTTCGTGACTAGATGGACCTGGTACTGCTCATTCCGGTGCTGACATCACTTCCGGTGCTGACGTCAGTTCCGGTTCTATCTCTTTCAGTTCAGACAACAGTTCCGTTCACTGGAAGCAGTTGATACTCAAGGTGCTCCTAATCCATCCTACACCTAATAGACAGGATAATCCCTTTTTTCGATAGACGGGGGAAACTATTTATGGATGATGGTTTGCGCCACAACAATATAGGGATTCTAATATAGGGATTCTAATATAGGTAATAGTGTCACAAATCCAATTTAACCAGAAACGGTAATTCTAGTGAAGGTATCATGTATTAGAATATAAGGGAATATAGGCCCTCTGGCCCTCCGGTTGCACATCAAAAGCAAGCAAGCAAAAACTAGTGAAGGTGTTTTGTGAGGCCAACTGACAGCTAGACACTACTTGTTCTACCGAGACGAATGTCCATCAAGTGATACTCGTGGCTAGAGCTCTAATCTCATTAGCCGAGCAGGATCCAAGACTTCGGGTGGAATTGTATCCCTGCGTATAACTCGCTGCAAAGGTAGCCTTAAGCCAGCCTGTAATTGTAGCCTTGGTGATGTCCTTGTTGGAATGAGGCTTGCGGGATATAAATAGTCTCCTTCGATGGCATCTATGTGGGTCTGTAGCCGAGAGACAGAACTTGAGAGCTCTGATGGGACATAAAGTCTGTATGGGTGATCCACTGTCGGTCCCAAGGCAGGAATAGTATAGTGTCTAGGGCCCAACGGCCCCATGGTGGTATATTGATTTTTGGCTACAAAATCTGGGAGCGATCTTGGGTTGATCATGGGTGAGACTAGAATAGTCCAAGGCATGGAGTTCTGAAACTCTTGCTGCTGTCGCCATGGCTAGGAGGAAGGAGGCTTTCCTGGATTTTTGGAGTAAAGTGGCCTTAGCCATGGGCTTGTAAGGTTCCGTTGGTACCACAGATAGATTTCACTTGGGAAAGATACGAGGTGTGCGAACATCTTTTGGTAGGAAGGATCTCATAAGTCTGTTTAGAATGGGATGGTTTCCAATTGGTAGTCCATCATGTTGAACTACAGAGTGAAGTGCCAATCTGTAACCTTCTATCATTCCATGTCGGAAATTATTGTCCTGACGTAGATGTAGTAGAAAGTTCGCTACCATAGGGATGGATATAGTATTAGTTATAATCCCTTGTCGTCCTCAGCACTGGACGAACTTATCCCATCTGTTGTCATATATAAGAGAGAATGAAGGTTTCCATGATCTTACAACAGCTTCCGAGGCAAGTCCAGAGTACCCGGATGTCTGCATCTATTGTGTGATAACTTACAGGCGGTTAGATGTAGGCTGGGCAGATTGTCGTGGCAAATGTTTGGACTTGGGGTGTCATAAGAGATCTCAACGGAGAGGTAACTGGACAGGTTCTTCTATTAGTAGACTTAATAATCTGGGGAACCAGGCTCTGCTGGGCCAGATTGGTGCTATCAAGATTATCATGCAATCCGTCTCCTCCACCTTGTGGATGACCTTGTCTAGGAGAGACATAAACCGGAAGTTGTAGGTTCTGGCAAGTGGCAAAGAGGTCTAGGTGCGGAGTGTCACATAACCTGGTTATCCAAGCAAAGATCTGGGGATGTAAGATCCATTCTGTTGCCAATATTCTCCTGGCAAGGATGTTCAGCTTCCTGGGAATATGTCTCGCTTCCATCCGGCAACTGATGGAGTCTGCCAAGGCAAACAATCATGTAGTCTCCGCCATCAGGGAACTGGATCTGGTTCCCCCTTGTTTCTGGATGTAAGCCACTACTGTACTGTTGTCCGTGGCTATGAGGATGGATGATTTGGAGATGGTAGGATGGCGTAATAGATGGCCTTCATTTCCATGCAGTTGATATGATGGGTCCTCTCTCAGGTGCTTCAAGATTCCTGTTCCTTGAGATTGTCCATATGGGCTTCCAATCCCGAATCTGACGCATCTGTGAATAGATGTTGTTCGCGAGTTGGAGAACAGAGGAATGCCGTTCATCACATGCTCTCTGAGTAATTTGACTGGCTGCCTTAGGTCATGTGCTCAGGTCACGTGCTCAAATTTGACCAATCTTGAACCTTGAATCAGATTTCGGCAAGAAAGCGTCATTAGAAATCAATTTTTATCCAATAAAATCACATGTTACAGCTAAGGAAAGACTACAGGCGATGAAGACGATGATAAGCTTTCTATCCATGGTTCACATGGCTGTCTTCAACAAATGTGTTATTCATACAAAACTTCGAAAACGGAGGTATTTCTTCATGTTACTGAGCGGACAGCCGCTGTTACCGGGGAATTGGTGATGACAGGTACCACTTATAATTCTTTTTTAAAATAATTTTCTGATTACCTAAACAAGGAGAAATAGGTAGATCTAAGTGGGTTTTATGAAATCGTCAGATTTTCACTTACTTGGTCCTTAATCTGGACGTCATGAATGTGTTAGCTTACAACAAACATAATAAAGTCGCAAATGCATTATTCAAATGATGTGATAAATGTATTATCAGTAGGATTAGACCTTTCAAATGGTGTATAACATGTAGCAGCAAAGATGTATTACAAGCATATATTTTCCTCGATAAATGCTGGCTTCATCTATCACACAAGAGCCTATGGGAACTCGGTGTCACAGCAGTAAAAGCTTCTGGTTGACTGGTGTTGAAAGAGTTAGGTATATAGCATTCTGTAATTAATGAAAACATAAAATATTTACTGGCAATTTCAGATCACAAAATACAAACAAGAGGCCCATAGGGCCTCACCTAGATATTTACGCAATCATGACAAAATATACATTTGCATTGTACATGTATATAACACTGC